CCAGAATATGGCAATATCTCGTATATTTACTAAATATGTTGGTTCTTAGCTTTAATTGTGAACTATTCATATTTTGTTAATACTAGAATCCCTGGAGTATCCATTCACAGCAGGCATGATGATCAAATTTTCATTGAATTCAAGAGAAATATTTTCCTTTATGACTATCAGAATGAGGCTTTTATGACAAAACACACCTCTTTGCTAGTTCTTCCTCCTCACCTTTATATACAGAAAGCTGATTTTTTAACTTTGAGTATATATGGGAAAATGATAATCCAAAAGATAACCAAGCAACAGGCTGACTTGATTAGGGATGGGTTAGAGAACACAATTAATAGAGTGTATTGTGTCACAGAAAATCTAGACAAAAAGAAAAATCCTGCTATGAGACTTCAAATTGCTTCTGGCACCTTTGGTACTATTTTTGGACATCATCTTACTCTTTTTAAAACAGTTTATAATTCAATTATCAGATTCTACTGTCATTTTCTGCAGCTCTAAATAGACTGTATCTCCTTTGCAGTAGCAATTTTACCATAATAATAATAATTAATTTCAAACACTTCATTTCACAGAGTATGTATACTACCGTTTCCTAATGTGTGTGTTCTGGGTTATTCTTGGACTTAAGAGGGCTTTTCATGATGCTCAGAACTGAAAGGAAATAGCAAATCCATTAAAAAGATGATAGATCTTATTTTGAGTCCTGATTCTGCAAACTATTCTGCATTTATAAAGCCTTAATCCTCATGCTGTTTTAATCTTTGTATAAGAAAAGTCTAATTTAGTGGGCAAATTGTAAAAAGAAGCGAAATTAATTTGGTGCTCAGCAGTTTCTCATCAGCACTCTAAAAGCCTCAATGAAATTAATATATTAAACATGGTAGTGGAAGAGGATATTGCAAATTTAAGCATCACAGATTGAGGCAAGATGTACAGTGATGCTATAAAACTCAAAACATTGATCTAAATACGTTAAAAGAAGAATACTCCCCTATATCAAACAGCATAATAAAGCTGTAGACCTACCTATATAATCACTCTAAAAATAAGTTGGAGCCATTCAGTAACTCACTAGAGTGCAAATATCATTTCAAGGCACTACACAGAAAAAAAAAAATATAATACCTATGGTATGAAATGCTTCTGATTCAAAATTTTGAAGCTGCATTCAGCTGTCCCCTTTCATGCATGCTCGTAGAACAATTAAGATGGTCACTAAATCCTTTGGAATGGCAAACGGCACACATTTCCAATAATCTGCCCCTACATACCCTTGAGAGATTTCTGCAGCAGAGAAAAAAAGTCTAGACAGTAAGTCTGGCCAAGCAAGAACACTCCGACGGGTACTCAGCATCAGGCAACAAACAGTACCTCATACGGGCTCCTGGCTGGTCCAGCTCATCAGCAGAAGGAAAACAGCACAAGCAGTTGCAGGAGGAGCTTAAAGGTGACCTGCAGCTTGAAGGAGGTGACGGAGCCAATATTAGCAAGAGTCAGATATAGAAAATGCTACCTGCTGACACAAAAGCAAACAGATGTGAATCAGCCCTAGGCCTAATTAGGCTGCAAATTGTAAAGGAAGGCATGAAAGAATCTTCTAGCAGGTGGAGTGGAGGAAAACACTTAAGGAATTTTAATATAAAAACTAATCATTTTATCTGCAAGATTGTAAGATACGGCTGTTTGATAGCAAGAGACAAAATAACACCTCAGGATGGTCCTTTCAACTGTATGCTCTGAGCAGTACAAAAAGCACACAGTTTGTCTCCAGTAGAATTTTTGGTAACATTTCTTACCCACAAGTGTTTAAAAAATCTAGTTGACAGCATGCTACAGATGTTGACTTGACTACAGTTAAAATGGTTTAGGGAGTACAGCTTTTGAGCAGGTGATAGTCTCTGGTGTCCAAGTACTCTTTCATGCCTTCCCCCCCATTATCTTCATGTAGTAGGATAATACTGCCCCTGAAACCTGGTGGTAAGAGCCTTTATACCTTATAACAGTAGGTACAGAGTTAGCAAACCCTGTTAAGTTTTTAAATGCCCCTTCCACATAGGAATCAACCCCCTTCCCATATCATGGATTATTTACTCCTTGCCCTTCCAGATGCCAAGGTTTTCTCTGCTTTAGCAATGTCATATTTCTTTCCCCACTCAAACTCCTCTTTAACTATCTTACTGAGAGCATTCATTTTTTCTCAACTTCCATCATTCCCCAAAGTATCTCTTTTTCCAACTCTTAACCAACAGGAGTTTCAACAGGAGCTATGTTTTTCTTCCCTTTTTCCCAAGTTTGGCTCTGCCTTTTTATTCTTTTCTCCAAATAACTTCCTTCTGTGTGCTCCTGACTCCCATAATGAAAGCTGTGTGAAAGTCTGCGCCTCTTTCTTTCCCACACTATGGATTTTGCTCTCTCAACCATGAAATGAACTTCCCGCTTGAAGCACCAATTTTTTGCATTACACTTTTCTATAATCTACTGTTTCCATGCCCAGATTATTCCAGTCTGTCAACATATTTCCCCTTTTCAAATTTCACAGAATTTGTCCCATTTAACATTTCTTCCCCAATTCTGTAATGTAAATACTCACCCATTTGTCAGCAGAGTGTACCAACAGTCGTGGCTTATTTATTGGGAAAATATTTAACACACTAAGGACACTGCCATGATTAAATACTACAACACCCTCACGCATCAGATAAGCACAGATCACAAGTATCTCAAAGAAATTTTAATCTTGCAATTCATTAAAGAGGACTTTAAATTCCAGTAACTCTAATGAGAAAAGTGCCTGAAATGGTAGCTCAGTTGATTCAGGCGGCAGTTGTATCAGAATACAAAAAAATTGCATCTACATCTGTACCAAAAATAAACCACCATTTTTGGGGGAAAAAAAGAGAGTTACATCTGAGTCCATTTTAAACAATTTAATAGGAGTATTTCCCACAATGCCACATACAAGAAACTATTTTAAATAACATTAATACAAACTAAGAAAAGTCAGAGAACCTGAAGTTAGAAAGATTTCATCTTTCTCTCACATAATAAAAGACATAATACATATGATTCATTCAAACAACTGTATTATTTAACTGTAAGAAAAAGCTTAAATAGAAGTGTTTAAATGAGGGAGCTAAAAGTCAGGCATCTAAATCCATGTGTAGGCACTGAATAGCTGGTTTAATTTTCAGAATTGCAAACACTTTCAACTTCCACAGACTTTAAGGTGACTGACACCTATAGAATTCCCATTAACACTTAGCCACATAATTAGTTTAATTCATCTGAGTAGGTCCATCAAATTAAAAGGGAGGATTTATATGCATAAATCACATGACTAACGTCTACAGGATTACAAAGTATGCAGATATATGAATTTAGTTGTCTAAGTCTCAAATTTTAAAACTTTCAATCACAGCATTTAAAATACGAGTGGTTTATTAAATTATGCGTCTAGGATGTTTGCCATAGTCTTTAAAAACATATGCCGTGAGAAACTCTCACTAGAGTTTAAAACAGAGCATTTCGTACATCTTTTCAAAGCGGCAACCAGAGTCCTCATGATGAACGTATTAGTTGAAATACTGAGGTACACAAATAAGAGAAATTATTCTGAAGCAGTCATTTTCCTTACTGACCATATTACTTCCACAGTTTGAAAGCAAAAATCCTGTTAGCAGACACTTCTGCTTAGAAATGGATGACACAGTTCTGAACTCGTAGAAGTTTGTGTAACTTCCTAAGTGCCTATAAATCATAGAATCACAGAATGGTTTGGGTTGGAAGGGACCTTAAAGACCATCTAGTTCCAACCCCCCTGCCATGGGCAGGGACACCTTCCACTAGGGCAGGTGGCTGAAAGGCTCATCCAGCCTGGCCTTGAACACTTCCAGGGATGGGGCATCCACAGTTTCTCTGGGCAACCTGTTCCAGTGCCTCACCACCCTCTCCGGGAAGAACTTCTTCCTGATATCTAATCTAAACCCCCCTGCTTTCAATTTAAAATTCAGTAATCTTTTATACCCCAAGTTTTAATCAGGGATCAATATTTACATTTTAATCAACACCTCTAAATACTTGAGTAAAATCAGGATACTGGCCATCACAACACCATTAATATCAGTTAGTTAAACATCTTTTCAGTTGCTAAATGAAAATATACTTTCCAACATAAGGAGTTTTAATCATTCATCCATTATTACTGATCAGGTCATTGTCACATTATTTGCTTTTACTATTCTCTTGTTCTAATAAATCACCACAGCAAAATAATTAGGTTGCTTTTTTTAGCACAAAGAAAAAGGGCTCAGTCCTGCAGACAACTTCCAAGTGTCTAATTCTATAAATGCTGATGGTCATATTAGTATACATAAACCAAAATGTTTAGACGATCAGGGTTCAAATCACCATAACATTTATGATTGGTATCAAGTCTGCAGTGGTCAGAGAGCTACAGCACTGGAATTGCAAGAAAAGAATACATCATCAACTAATCAGGGAATGTCTACGGAACTGAATTTATCTGAGGTCTAGTAACCACTTCTGTGGTAAGATGAAAATACATACCCTCCTTTCTCCCATGAAGGAAAGTCAAGGCAAGCCACTGATTTGGTCTTACCCTCTTCTTCATCACTACGGAATGAGCAATTAGAGATTGTTCTGGTTCGCAGTACAGGTAAGGAACTATTACTTTAAAAGGCTAACTCCTTTACAAATTTCAAACTTGCTGAAGGATTGATCTGCCCTTCACTGTGTCTACTCAGATGTTTTCAACTAGCAGCAATCCACCTGTTTTCAGAGTAAAGGTCTCAAGTATCCTCCTAGTTCCATCCTGTTTTTTAAAAAACAAACCAAACTAATATCATTAAGGCTGTTTTATATCTGTGTCAACTTGATTTACTTTTACCAAATGGAACAGTCGCTTTGAGGACCTTCAAGTGGAATGATCGATCTTGTCAATATTCCAGGAAAAGTCATTGTATCCTTTGGAACAATTAGTCTCCAACATCACCATCTCTGTCACCGATGAGCCACAGAAAATGAAAACCTATAGCTAATAAGGCAGTTCCAAGCAGATCTCCCAGTGCAGTAAGATAAGGGATAGAAAAACTGTCGGGGTCTTTTCCTTTTTTCCAGAAGTGGTGTACCATCCAGTCAGCAATCCATAACAGAGTAAACACCTATGGAACATCAACCAATCAAAATCTGTATTACTATCACTTATGTTATATTGAAAGGAAGATAACAGTCAACATTATTGTATCATTGGTACTTAGCTCTATTGTATACAACCGCTTTTGAAAAATATAAATAATATTAATTCATTTCAGACTAAAAGTCTCCACAACTAGAGACAGGAGCCCTTAGCCAACTTCATTCAGTCACTCACACGCACTGGTAGAAGGAACACATTGCATCATTGATAGCATTCTTCACCCAGTCTATGCTTGAGGACTTCTGAAAATGGCAAGAAAAAGCAAAAACGCCAACCAAGCACACAAGACATCATTCTGTACAGTGAGCATAAGCTGGGGCTTTGAGATCATTCAGAACCGACTGGTGTTGCCCCCGATGAGAACACTCAAGACAAGTGTGACTCTGTTTCCACAGGTCTAGAACTGAGCTGAAATCAGACATGATACAAAGAATACCAGGTCAGATTAAGACCAGTTTCATCTGGATTACATGAACTTCAGAAAATGGCCTAGAAGCTGCTTTTGTGTACGAAATACCAATTTCAGCCCTTCTGTAATAAGGCACACCTGCAATATATATTATGAAATTGTCACTCCAGGCTGAATTTGTCCAAAAGTACAAGATGTCATTCCCAACTGTGAATGTCTGAACATTCGGGAGGTTTGATCTTAATACCAAAGGTATGCATAATCATTAATGCCTATTTAGAAAAGAGTTCTTTAATGTTGCACAGCTGTATGATAAGAGATTCTGGTTCAGTGGAATCCTGTGGTGTGGCATGGCATGAGATGAATGGAGAAAGGACCACTAACTGAGCTTCCACTTCTTGTCTCTCCTAAGGAGCTGCTTAAGATGAAATAAACATTGTATTTGAAGTATTTTTAGCTAATCAGATATTTAGGAAGGGTAAACTTAAGACAGCAAGCACCATAATTCATTTTTTAAAAGTCTACTATATACATTTAAAGGAATATGCAGTATCAAAAGTAGAAAGAGGTAGAAAATTTACATTTTATTTAGAAAATTATCAGTTACTGCTATCAAAACCATCTTTACAAACGCATGCGCTCATTTACTTAAATACTGGTAAGATGGTTGCAGAGACACTTCTCCACAATACAAAACACAGTCAAATGAACATCATATAAAAGCTTGTGTTGAAAAAGTTTCTCAATTAATCTTTGCCTTGCAAAAGTGTATGTTAAAATGCAAGCTGGATTTTCTAATTAAAAAAAAAAATGAGTATTTGCTTAATGAAAAATGCATGGCTTATTTATATAAACATATCTTCTGAAAAGGGAACTGTGTAGTCTAAGCTAATTATGCAAGTCCTAGGTGTGCTGACTGGAATCCAAACAAATATATTTAAAACAGATGTTTTCTTTGGAAGACTATCAGATTCTTTGAGTCAGCTCCTTCTTCTAACAGAGACAAAAAGAGGCCTGTTTATAAAAGATACTGTACACTAACATCTCCTACAGGATGTACACGGACGACTCCGTAGCGCCCCACATCAACAATAGTTATGTATGTTCTGTTAGGTGAGAGCTTTCGTTCTAACCATAATCTGTAAAGCATTTATGTGACACAACCAATTAGACACAGCATACGCAGTCCAAATGTAAATGACAATATGCATTTTTGGCTTTTAAAAATCATGATACGAAAACCTTTAAATTGTCTCTGTATTTTCCACCCTAAAATAACTGACTTAGACTATTGTGAAAAATGGGTAGTTTGGAAATTAAGCTTTGTGAACCTTCTCAAATTAACTTAGAGGTGCGTAACACAACTTATTACAACCCTGGCTTCTCTAAGTAATAGAAAAAAAGTTACAGCATATGATATTAACTGATGCTTATGAAGGTCTATGATGGCAGTTGGGACACACTTCTTGAGGAATGAGACTGCAGTTCACCAGCCTGTATTTTGGTGAAGGAATAATGCTACCATCATGCATTTGCACAGCTAGAAGCTCACTATCATTTACAAATCATACATATCAGTCTTGGGAAATGGTTACTTATTTGGCCGCAGTAGTTGGTGTGTGCAAGATCAATGTGACCTGAATCTTTAATGAGATTTTACTTCTCATCAGTGTTAAAAGGGGGTGATCAAAGTCATCAATCAACTGTTATTTAAAAAAAAGCAAAAGCCCTACTATGAGTTTACAGATTTTTGAGAGTCAGGCAATCTTTGAATCTAAAGTGATAAGAAAAGTCACTCACAAAGATGTGTCAGAGGTAAAAAGAAAAGACAAATCATACAAGAGACACTACTTTAAGCGGCACACACATTTTTCCGGGATTTACCAGGGACCTACACTTATGTCAGCGGGATTGTGCAGATGGCATAGCAGTACAGACGCTGTGTACTTCTACCCTGCACTCACGCTATCAAGCAGAAAGCCTTCATGCTTCAGATAGAAACCCAGCTGGTTTTGAAGGAAGAAATAAAGGGGTCAACATTACAGAAAAGCCTAATAAGATAGCACAAAAATTATCTGTTTAGCACAAAATGCTGTAGTAAATTCATATGAAAAGCTTGTAAATATATGCAGAACTGTTCAAGGTGTGAGCTAGTATTTTTAAATTATTTGATATACTGACAAAGAGAATAATGAAGTGTTTTTTGCAAAAAAGAGGTGAACAGTAGTAAAACAGAGCCCTAGGAATTCTTCTAGACTGAAGAATAAATAACCCTGAGGTTTAAGAAAGGTAAAAGATAACAAAATATCTATATACATAAAAAGCTCTATCTAAGAAAAGAGAGACTCTATAGTCAGTGATCAGAAAGAAACAGCCCAGAGCAAAGATTGCAAAAATACAGCCAACTTTCCAAGTCTTTTGATATTTAAAAGGAAGATCATGTTAAGTTATTACTCTTCTGGAAAAAAATTACAACCATATTGAGGGAAATGAAACTAAAGACATCATCAGGTTTAGACTAACAAAATATGAAATAAGTATCCTAAGAGTAACTGATATTTTCTATTTATAAATGTGGATTTGTAAACAGACTTATCAGTCACATTGTCAAAAAGGTCCTCAGAAGACAGAAGCAGCAGAATATAGCAATGAGAGGGAGGAGGGGAGCAAGGGAGGGAAAAAGCAAGAGTGAAATCCTTATGAAACCCTGATGATGAAGAATCTGAAAATAAGGAGCATAAGTACACGTACATCTTGTACAGAAAAGGACAGAAGGACGGAGTAATTCTCAATATTGAACCTTCTGATTCAAATTACGAGTATCAGATTGAAACTGAAGTTGAATATGAATGCTTAAATAAGAGTGAGCCCCACTATTTAAAGCTTAAATCTTAGGACTGCAAGACTAGAAATGGGAACATTATACACTCCAAAGCAGATTTTTCCTTTGGTATTGGGCACAAAATTTACTTTCATTCATTATGTTCTTAATACTGTCTAAGCTTCCTACAGCCTAATTGACATGTTGCAGCATGCCATAATAGTTTTATTGTTTCTTTCATCTGGGATGACCATATTTCATCAGTGAATGCATGTCAAATTCACAGTGATAAAAAGTATAACATTCAAATGCATAATATTTGTAAAGCAGATTTGAATCTTTCATGGTTATATAAGTTTATACATTAGTTTCTGTGATTAGCGAGTCCCAACATCAAACTGGAAAGAGAGAGTTTAGGGTACATATTTGCCCATGTTTTTTCACACAGGCATTATCAAAATTCTGCTGCCAGGTTAGTATGTAGAACTCAGACCTTGTGGCAGTTTATTCCGCATGCCTTAGATGGACAGGATATCCTGCACGTTACTAGTACTGCCGATCCACCTTAAATCGTTTCCATGCAAAAATGCATTACAGAATAGTTTCATTCTGTTACTTTAGACAAGAAACGTATTTTAATTCTGTTTTACTCTCAAACCTATATTGACTCAAAATTCACTTATAATGTAACCATGACAAGATCTAGTAATTATTGCATAAGAACTCTTACGAATCCTTGAATTTCAAAGATAAGTTTTAGGGGTTTTTTAATTATGAGTGAAAACCCCCAATTAAGGATCTCTAAAAACAACTATGTCCTGACATCACTCTCACCAGATTTACGGTTTAGGTCTTCCAGTGGTTTTGACCTTTCATGAAGTTAATTTTTAAATTATATATTACATTTCCCGTATTTTGAATGGCTTTTGATGTCTTCATGTCAAACTAAGTAGCAATTGTAAAGCTCTCATAAGAGATCTACACTGAACTTATTTGCTGGATGTCCCTAGTCTACAGCCAGAACTCTGTAGTCAGTGACCTCTCAGAGTAGGGTGTACATATGTTTTTCGAAAGAGATTTTTCTCTACTGTCTTCTCAGGTAACATATCTGGTGTGCATCATGCCCAGGGGAAACAAGTCACTCCTTCCTCCAAACACACAGAGATTTCCTTCAATGCCTGCCTGCAAAGGAACCACTGAACAGCAAGTTCTTTCTTGCTGCTGTTGTTTCTGTTGTAGCTAAGTGGTATTAGCTACACTACAGTACCCAAGTACCCAGACTGCACAGCACACATTTTAAGACTAAAACTTCATCTAAGTAAAAAAGAGGGTACCATTTTAACTGAAGTTGTTTCTAAATCAATCTGATGTAATTCTAAAGAAAAAGTAACCAGACTGTCTTCTTGATTTCTCTGTGGCTTTGCCAGACACCCCAGTTTGACCAAGAAGTACCAATTTCAGGCTCTTTATCAGATGTCTGAATGAGGAGTGCAACCCAGAACTGGTACATTAAGCATCCTGCTACGCTCAACCTGCGCTAGCTGTAGCACAACTCAGTGTGTCATGCTACATACATAAGCACTTTGAGCTCAGTGTTCTGCAGGCAAACATGATATGTTCCTGTTAATGGCGTGGTGGGAGCCAGGTTTCTACCACAGACAGCAACATGCCTGGAAGTGACAGAGCAGGTGACATCCACATGCACATCCAAATGGATCTGGCAACTCTGCTGCCC